TCTCTTAAATTACAAAAAAATTATAATAGGCTAATGTTATTTCTTATTCATATAAAAGATTAAAATATTATTTTAACCAACTATTTTGACTAGCTACAAGGTGATTATCATATCACTATTACTAGCAACAACACAAGTAAGTAATTAAAAATATTAAGTTTCTAAATAACATCTTACTAAGATATTAATATTTTAATATTTGATAATTAATATTATTACAAATCTTTACACACAATTTACAAGTCAAACTTTAATGTATACAAATTTTTGAAGGATGATTTATTAACTTTGGAAGAAGACTTGCAAAGTATCATACTATTTTAATTTTCAAATTAAATCACCTATAAATTTTTAAAAAAATTAGTTGAGCGTTTAATATTTAAAAAATGATTTATAAATTTTGAACCAATATTTAAAAATAATAAAATTTAAATAATAAAATTATTAAGTATTTAAATATTTCAACAAAGTTTTATTAAAATAAATATAATATTTTTTAATTACTAGAAACATTGGTGACTTAATAATCACCCAATGGTGGGTAAAAGTTATTAGTTAAAATAATATTGTCATATTTTATATCAATAAGAAATAACACAAGTCTATTAGTGTTTATTTATAATTGAGTTAAGGGTCTAAAATATCCCTCAACTAAGCGAAAAAGGTTAGGGTAGCCCCTAAAGTCAAGAAAGAATTATTTATATCCCTTAACTGATAAAATTTTAAATTCCATCACCCTGTCATTTATTTCATCAAATTTCATCGTTAGTAAAATCCACATTTAAATTTTTTAATATTTTTAGTGAGTTTCACTATTTTTATAGGGTTAAAAATTTAAAATGCTCATCAACTAAGTAAAAAAGGTAAGCATTGCCTTTAAAGTCAAAAAGGTAATTTATATCCTTTAGTTGCTAAGAGTTTCAATTCCAACATCCAGCTATATATTCTGTCAAATTTCACCTTTAGTTAAACCCATGTTTAAATTTTTAAAATTTCTAGTAGGTCCCACCATTTTTGTAATAATTAGGATATTTAAATTAAATTAAATTAAATAAATCTTAGTCTATATTTATTAATTTTGGAGTAGGTTTAGCAAGTGAGAGAGTTGGTCCAGTGGAATTGTGCTTGTAAGTCATATTCTCAGTCCCTAGTTCGCGAAGAAATCCATATTTTCTATTCTTCTGTAAAATTACCTAACTGCCCTTTAAAAAAAACAAAAAGAAACTAAAATAGCATCAGATTTTATTTCACCTCTCTCCAAAATCCTTTCTTCGAACAAAACTTAAGCTTTGAACCCCAAATCCTCTGCATCTCTGATCTTCTTCCTTCTCATTCTTCGCCGCCGTCCTTTCCCGTCTCTGATCGTCACCGGCGTGGGTATGGGTGAGAGTTCCACTACAAGAGTTTAAGACAACGACTTCTCCTCTTTCTATGCGTTATGTCGCCGTCGCTCACTGCCGTCGAGTTCCGTCAAACAATCAGCTTCTTTCTTCTCCGGTGGTAACTACAGCGTCTTTTCCTCGCCGGCGTTGGCTGTATGTTGGGTGAAGCTCATTATCTCCCCTTCTATGTTTGACGTCTTGTTCTTTTCCCCTGTTCGGTCGGCCTCTTTCTTTTCCTTCCTTTATTAATGGTGACTTGAGGTAAGGAGTTTCAAGCTTCACTTCTCTATTGCTGTGTATGTGCATATGTTGGTTGAAGTCGTGAATTTTGCTCTTCTTTGTTTTGTCTACTGTGAATAATGTGAATGTGGGATTTAGTTTTATTCGAGTTTAAAATTGAGTAATGTTGAAGGAATTATGTTTGAGAAGCCCAATGAATTTAAATATTGTTATCTGAGAATTATGTTTAGAGAAGAGCCTAGAGTCAAAGTTTAAAAATTGGTGCCTCCAAAATGTTTGTTAAAATGCTTGTTAGATGGAGCTGTTTGATTTTGTATTTCCTAAAATTTCATTAAATCCCTTGGAAGACATGACTAGTTGGAATACTATTATCTTGTGAATTGAGCTTGACATTCTGTAAAAATTTTATTATGAAGGTAATGTGTAGCTAGTTAAATTCTTTCGATTTATGCGGTTGATGAGGATTTTTGGGTGAGAAATTTGAATGCTAAGAAGCTTTATTGTGAGGTTTGAAAATGATGGATATTTGGTGTTTTGATTAAAAAAAAAAAGATTAAGAGGAGATGGTATTTTAATGGAGTAATTAACTATGGCTATTGAGGAACTTTAATATGTAAAGTCTTGGTTCTAAAGTTTTAAATCTATTATAATTTAACATTAGTGGTGGTAATGTTGAAAGGAAACTATTGAACTAGTTGAAATTTATTAAAACCTTATTATATTTTATAGGGTGTTTAAAAGAGGAGAAATTCAATTGAAGTGGTAAGAGATGAAATTTGAATTTTGAAAACTCTTCAAGTAAGTGAATATTGTCCTAATTAATTTATTAATAAAAGTCTTTTATTGAAATATTATATTTTTATATAGATCATTTTTAATTACTATGATAAGTATTGGATACATCATTAATTAAATTATTTTTATCATGTGAAAATATAAAAAAATTGTGGCAAGAAATATTAAGTCATGACATGTGAATGAAATTTTCCCTATGAGTCATATTTTCAAGATTCATGAAATTATCTTTGATTAGCTTTGGAAAATTTTGGCTATCCAATAAATGCAATAATGGACATCAATTATGAAACTTTATTTTGACAAGTATTAAATTGATTATTACAATAATTCATGGGAGTTCGACATTGAAAATGAAAATTTTATTTCAGTAATGATTATTTTTCTTGCATGTTTGAAATGTAATTTTTAAGAAGACTACATGCAGAACACTGATTGCTAACGGTAATTTTATTAGTCCATAGTGTTTTGGTTGATGACTAGCTAGTTCAATTTTTTTTCCACAAGCTTTGTTTTCACGTCTATTATTTGTAGCTTCGACCATGTTTGGTTGTTATCCTTATGGATTGTATGACCACATTTGTTTCGTGACTTTGACCATGTCTAGTTATTACCAATATGAACTATGTGTCTAAGTCTATTATGTGTTATGTAAAATCCTCATAAAATTTATTTTATTGGATTTGTGAAATATAAACTTCATTATTTTTAATGAGTAAATATTTCTATTCCTATTTAATTATTTAATTTATTTGATTTCTTATAGCTAGATGACAAATTGTTTATTTATTTTTAATTTAGTGGTTCAGTACTTGTGAAGTTTATTAGAATTTTTAAATTCTCTAATTTATTGATTTTTTTTAATTTGTTTATAAGTATCTAAACATATTTATCTATATTCTTTTAACTTTAGTATTGGGACGTTATTTACTAGAAAATTATTTTGGTTTCAGATTTATTAGTTGATATTGAACCTCTTGCCGATCACTGAGGGGCTTACAACTGTGTGCTGGATGGATATTTATTTTGGAACTGCCTTTCCTTTTTATATAAATTTTGAAGTCTATGTATTATGTTTTGAAAATGCAGTTTAGGGCGCTCCATGATAACTATAATAAGGGTCCTAACTTTTTATTATGTTGTTTGACCTTCTGCTGCTGGGGAGCAAAGCTCCACACTCTAATTTTTATTTTGTAACATTTCGGTAGAGATTACAGAAGGTCCTATTTAAATGGGAGGTGTTGACAAAATTTCTACAAAAAGTCCAATATTTTGATTTGAATCAAAAGTAAATATAGTTTAATGTATAATTATGCTTATAGTGTGTCCAATGCATTTATTTTGAATTTATCCTTAATTGAGGCATTAGGGGTGTATGTTTGTACATATGTTTTATGTCATTCATGCTTAATTTTTGGGGTGTGACAATTTTTTTAATACTTTTAGTATATCTCCTCAGGGTTTAGGCCACACCTCTGAGTGAGTCATTATTCAAGCTTGTAAAAAATGTAAACTTCTTGCCACGGCTCTCCAATGGCTCCACGCTCAATTTTTCTCCGTAATTCCTAACATTGTCCTCAATCTGCCATTGTTAAATGGTGCCAAAACTCTACTAACCATTGCAGGAACATGCTTATGGTGCACTCTTCGGCCTAGCCATTCACGACGATAAGAAGACTGCAATAAGTGAGCTAGGTGCTTTGTCGTCGTTACTCTAATTGCTTCAATCCAAGAATGAGCAAACAAGAGAGGAAATGAAGGTGGGGGATAGAGAAGAGAGGGAGAGAGGGAGAAGAGAGGGGTATGTTTTAAAATTATAAAAACATATTAAAAAATTATGGTACCCACTAAAAATGTTAAAAATTCAATTGTGGGCCCTACTAATAGTGAAAATTGACAAAATAAATGAGAGGGTGATGAAGTTGAAAATCTTAATGATTGAGAGATAAAAATGACCCTTTCTTAATTTTAGGGGTGACTCTGACTTTTTCTATTTAGTTTAAGGGCATTTTAGACCTTTAACTCAAAAAAATATAAAAGAAATTAAGTGGCTGCCACTATTATATTTTATTATTAAAAATATTTAAAAAATTCATGTGGGCCCCACTAATAAATAATTAGGGGCATGGAGGATGCAAAATTTTAAAGTTGAAGGATAAAATTAACCTCAATTTAAATTTAAGATCATTTGTGAATTTTCATATATAATTTAGGGACAAAAATGGCTATTTATCCTTTATAATTCAAAGGACTTGGTCAGTTTTAATTTTCTTATAATATATTTTTATGTAATTTTTTAGGTCATTTTTTACAATTTTTTAGATCATTCCTTATAATTCTTTTTTTTCAATCAATGTCAAATTAATGAATATTTAATAAAGGGGCAATATTGTTACTTAAAAAATTATTTTAGAAATTCCCCCACCCTTCACTACGGGTGACCAGTCCTTCTTAAAAAAATTACAGATAAATTAAATCTTTAGCCAAAAAAATTCCTGCAGCATAATGGTGACAGAAAAGAACGGGGAAAGTAACGAGAATGACAAGTATTTAAAATCCAACAATATCAGTGATTCACTATAAAAGAGAAAATTACTGATATGATTTTTCTAGGCTTCACACACACACACACACACTTTTTACATAAAACACCAGCATATCCAAGTAGAAGAATGTTTTTTTACGAGTTAAAAAGCTTCACAGACACACCCAACGTTTGAACAGGCTCATCCATAAGAGTGTTCTCAATCTTTTAATTTTTGATCGACACTAAGCTATACGTCATGAGAAACACTCTATCTCTAGGGAGATTACAAGTTTAATTATATTTGCCGCTACTTCTTCTACATCTTCACTTCCAACACCTGGTGAAGAAAAGATTAACATGTAAATTTAGCTAATACTTCAATTATCAAAGAGACTTTTTGAAGTTCTCGTTATACTTGATCAACGAATTTAAGAATAAACTTCACCATAAACCTGGTTTCAGAAGACACATTTGATGAGGAAAGGAATTATATAAATTAAGGTACTTTGCTTAAATTCAATTAATTGTTACTTGAATTTTAAAATATTTAACATTTAAATTCAATGTAATAATAAAATACGCAGAAATTGTTACTCAAACCTGTTGTTAATTTGTAGACCAGACGTTCTAAAGAATCTAATTAATGGAGATTTAAAACTTCAAGCCATGTATCCCCAGCTTCTCTTCAGTAGTATCATCAAGTCGTTTGATCATGTCCAGTGTGAGAAAATTCTTGGAATCTCCAACTGTTCCACGTCTAAAAAAATTCTTACTTTTCACCCCGGAGGACACTTTTCCACTTTTATTCACTTCCAAATTGCTCAAATTTTCAAAACTACAGAGCTTCAATATGTCACCCACAACATCATTTTCTTCTTCTTTGGAAAAACCATACCCAATAAACTCAGCTAGTTCCTTCAAAACCCTCACCGGCTCACCCTTTAGATCCTCAAACCTCAAAAACATTACCTTCTCTGGTCTCTTCAAACTCTCCTTGTAATAACCCAATATGTGATCCCAAAACGGCCCGAAAGGGTTCTTTCCCTGGCAAAACTTCTCAAACAAATCCTCATCAACCACGTTGCTCGCTGCTTGGCTTTCTGTTTTGAAGAACGGACTTGTAAAGTGCCAGTACGAGACAAGAACGTCCTTAGGATTTCTGCACAAGTACACTATCTTACATCTCGATGACTTTACGGACTCCGGCAATGGTAAGTGTGGCAGATGGGCCGCGAAAAGCCTCGGCGATGAGAAGGAGCTCAGATCTGGGTTGTTCTCAAGATAGAGACGGAGTTCCAAGAAGGGCACAAGATCATGAGGGTTGGTAGTGAGAAGAGGGTGGGTCGGGTTTAGATTCGTGTTCGGATAATGGGTCTTGCGATTAAGGAGTGAGTAAGTGAGGGCCTTGAGCCAGGTCGTGCCAGATTTTGGCATCGTGACGAGGATGATGTCAGAGTCATGAGCCTGAAAGTGTTTATGCAAGTTGAGGACTCCTTGGATGACCCTTTTGTTGTGCCAAAAGCCTTGGAATTGGTAGAGCCGATAGATCTTCCAATACGGTTCAGAAGGTAGGGTTGCAATGAGATTTCGACACTCTTGGGATAGAGCTTCGTCGTCTTCATCCCAGAACTTGGGAATTACGACTGGAAGACCAGAGGCTTTGGATTGTTCTTCTGACATGGTTATGTTATTGTTATAGATCTATGTAAGGAGGGAAGTATGGAGGTAAGAAATTAGATTTATGGAGATTTCCATGGGTATAGATAATGTTTTAGACGAAAGGATCAAAATTGTTGCTAATCAACATCAGACCGTCGTGTGGGCTCTGACTTTTCAATTTTTCTTTTTTTGGTGAAAACTTTTCAATTTTTCTTCAAATCATGGAGTTACTATATATAGGCCAACTCCTTTTTTTTTTTTCAATTCACAATTAAATCTCAAAATATTAAATTAATTATAAGTAAGTCCCTCATAAATTGTTTGAAAAATAAATTAAAAATATTAATTCAAATAATTATAAATTTAAATTTTTTTAATTATAAATAAGTATTTAAATATTAAGTTATTAAAAAAATTTATGTTTATAACTTTTAAATTAATATTTATATTTTATTTTAAAAAAATTGCCAGAAACTATCACTAATTTTTTAATATCTAACTGCCGTTTTTTTTATTTTTAATTAAATGTGATTTTATTTTAAAATATTATAATTTCATTATTGTTCATATGTGTCAGACCATCATGTGGTAGCTCTGATTTCTGGCATATAGTGAAAATTGGCTGTCACGTGATGATCTACTTTAATTTTATTTCTTTTAGAGAAAATTAGAAAGAAGGACAATGATTACTCAAAATTCTTGAGGAAAAAAAAATAAAAAAATTACATATATATATATATATATATCCTGTACTACATTTTTTTTCACAAATATGAAATTCAAAAATTATATCAAGTCCGGAATCCAAAGTGTAACTTGAGGATGGAGTACACAGACAATATATTGCTCCTATTAATTTAACTTTTTTTACAATTACAACTTACCTTCACAATGTGCAAATAAAAATTCATAAAAAATAAAATAAAATTCATAATTTATAAATTAAATTTCTTGTTTAATAATATTTGATATAACATGGAGTACTCTCCATAGAGTTAATTATACCTATTGTAATGACCTTACTTTTAAATTAAATAAATTTATCTATCAATTAATATTTTATTTAATTTTTTTAATTTTATAGCAAGTGAATATTGAAAACTATATTAATAATTTTTTGAATGTTCATAATTCAAATTTTATTGAACAAAAATTTAGTTTTATTTTATTTTAAATTATAAAAAAAATTTGTATCCTTTTTGTAATTCTTCCAGTTTCCTTGTAATTTTCCCAATTACCTATTTTGTTATCTCCCAGAAACAGGGCAATTGCATTTCTCTTTGTTTTTTACCGACATATCTCTTCTCCTCCACCGTCGAATACTCCAGATTCAGCGGAAGAGAAGCTATGATCAATCTTCATCTCATGCTCGCCTTTCCTTTTGAGTTGGTTGTCGACGTCGCCGTGAGTTCGCTGCCACAAGGAGTCCAATTAAGGCCGATTTGTTCCTCCCTATTCCTGCTTCTGTCAACATCTTCATCCTCCTACAAAGTCGAAGCCGCCAAACTTCCTTCCTCCTCTCTCATTTCATTTGGCCGTGAGTGTTGAAGTACGGTGGAGATTGGTTGCTGTAGGGAGTCTGAGCTGTTGATCGTTTCTTTCCCTGTACTGTTACTCTTCCTCCGCTTCTGTCATGGAGGCTTCAAGTGCTTCCAACTCTTCTCCCTACTCCTTACTCGTTTCGTGTGGGTGTGTTTAAATAATGGACATTGTGATGATCTGTTGCGTTTCTTCCTTTCCTCGCTGCCGTGGGAAAGTGTGACATGAAAATATAATTTTCTTGAGTTAAGGTTGATTTACTCATTGAAGAATTGAAACTTAGAAAGTTGATTTATTTAAATACTGATGTTAGAAAATTTTTGGGAACGAAAGTAAATAGTAAAAAAGTTTGGTGTTAGTTTAATCATTAATGCTTATAAGGTGTTTGATAAAATATCCTTATGAGAGTCTTGCTTGATTTTATGTATTTTTGAAATTGCAATAATTCTTGTAAGAAATATATTTAGTTTTGGTATTATTGATCCATGAATTTAACTTGTAGATTGTAAATTGATCATGAAATTATTTGTAACCGTTTGAATTCTTGAGAGTTGTATAGTTATTAATAAATTGTAGGATAAGTGATGGAAGATTGAAAAATTTTAATTATATGGTTGGAGATAATGCACATAAAGTATTTAATGTAAAGCTTAAGGGAAAATTTTATTTATGGGGGAAATTAGTGATATAGATGTCTATACTTGGCAAATTCTAGAGCATAAATTTTAGTCTTGGAATTTTAAATGATGGTTGGTAGTTGATTGAGGATGAGCTACAAAGAGGTATGAGGATGGATTGAAATTTGTCAAATGGATTAATTGACTAAAGTGTACTTGAAATATAATTGATTATAGTATTATCTTTAATATTATTTAGATTGAATTTAAATGCCCATTAAATGCTTGAAAAATTACTTGAAAAATGATTTTAGAATTATGATTTATTTGTCAAGAAATTAAGAGCGCCATTAGAAGGGGGAAAAAGTTAAGAGAAGGAAGATTTAGAATCCTTAAAAAATTTTCAGGTGAGTGGATAGTATTCTACATAAATTTCTAATAATGTTTTACAAAAAAAAATTTATTTGAATTTTAATATTATTCCCTTATAAATTGCATTGATATCCTTTTCAATTCAATTTTTATAATAATTGTTTTATTAATAATCATGTCTTGATTTTACTAATAATTTATGTTATTGCAGCTTAATTATTTAATTTCATGTTTATTTTGAAAAATGAATTTGAGCAGTGGCAATTAATTGTAAAATAGCATGGTTGAAGTTGAAAACTTTGAAATTGCTTTCTTGCTCTATGCACACTTAATTTTTATTAAGGGGACTGAGTTCAAAACGCTGGTTGCTAATAGCAGTTTCATGAGCCTTTGGCACGTCATAATATACTTAGCTAGCAGGGTGCTTGTAGGAGGTGCTAACCCTGCACATAGGCCAACGTACATGAAACAGAGGGATGGATATTCGTAGGTCACGCTTGTTTCATGGGCATTGTCCTTGCGCTTGTTTAGTGGCTTTTAGCCATCCTTGATTATTTCGTGGCTTTAAATCATGCTTGTTAGTTACTTACCCTCGTGGATTGTGTGTTTGTGCTTCTTATTCATTTTGATAAAACCCTCCTAAATTTAAATTAAATTTTATTATTTTTAGATTGGTTCTTCAAAAACATTTTATCGAATTGCACTATTATTGAAATGTTTTTATTTTTTATGAGCAGTAAAAATTTTAATACATTTATGTGATTCTATTAGCATTGTTAAATTTTATGGTTATGTTATTGAGAAAATTCCTTCTTTATTGTTAATTAAATATATGTTTAATTATTTTGTTGAATTTTTTTCAAATTAAGTTTATTATCACTATCTTCATAATTTTTTTTATTTATAATTTTAAATGGAACGCTACTCACTAAAAATTCTTTAGACTCAGATATTGTAGCCGACCGTACACCTCCTTTAGATCATTGAGGGGCCCTAATGTTTTTGGAAAGAGGAAGTGCATTGTGAATATCCCTTTTTGGTGAAATTATGTATTGTATTATATCATTGTACTGTAGTTCTCCATGCATACTGTAGTTAGATCCTAGTGTTATTTGCTAGTATGAAATCTACTGATGTGGAGCTAGTCTCCTTTGCTAGATTGGCTGACAGGTTTGCTATTGTAGAAATTTTGAAAGCTCCAAACTCTACTACAAAAAAAGGAAATATTGGACAATTCTTTTTGCCTATGTTGGACGATTATGAACCATCCAATATGGCACCGTCATATATTGATAAAATAAATATTCGACAGTTTTTAATATTAGAATATTGGACAGTTCAAAGACTTGTCTAATATAGTGTCAAAATAAGTGGTATAGGTATAGAATATATTGGATGGTTATTTAGCAGAACTATCCAATATAAGGACATATTGGACAGTTATAATAATACCCATCCAATATACTGTCAAATATTGGACGGTTATGGTCACAACCGTTCAATATATTCATTATATTGGATGATCATCCTAAATAACCGTCTAATATATTGATTTTTTTAAATACGCTAGCTGCATTTCTTGCAATCCCCTTATAACAGTATAATGCAAATACAGACCAGTCCAATTCAATCCATAATTATACTAAATTAAATTGAATTATAGTAAACTAACAATTTTATTAAACTAAAAGGATTTGTTTCCCATACAATTGCTTAACATAGTACTAAGTAAAATAAAATTATTTGCTGTGAAGAGATGCTTTGTTTTTTTGAGTAGTGGCACCAAAAATAAACCTATGTCTGGAGCTGGAAGAAGAAATAAAGGCACATATTGGACGGTTGAATTTTTAATTGTTCAATATAATACAATCTTATTGGATGGTTATTTAAAATAACCATCCAATATTGTTTTTTAAATTTTTTTAAAAAAGTTGTCAAATTTGAACATATATTGGACAATTCTTTTAATAACTGTCCAAGATATTAAATATATTGGATGGCTGTTTTAGGAACCATCCAATATAATTACTTGTTGAATGGTTATAGATATAACCGTCCAATAAGACCTATCATTTATCTTCATTTTTGTAGTAGTGAAATTATAGGGGAGTCTCTGCTGAAATGTTTACAAAAATATTTAAGACTTTACAAATTTTATTATTATATATAACTTCTATATCAATATTTTAATTTAACCTTTAGCTAATCAAGGATTATAGAATATGAGTTTATCTCATATTTTATGTCGATCATATCTTTAGTATTAGAGTGTGACACCTACTTATTATAAGGTTGTAATTATAGAGTGAAAATGAATTTTTGATACCAATTAGACCAATTTTATATAGCTTTAAGTAGACATAATTAACTTCATGGAGACCTCATGTTATATCAAGCATTAAACAAGAAATTTAACTTGTAAATTATGAATTTTTACTTGTAATTATGAAGTTGTTGTTAAAAGTGAAAGCTAAATTTTAAACAACACATAGGCTAAATATTTGCTTAAAAAAAGACATAGGATAAATATGTAAATGTCAAATGAACTCTATTATAAGTGTTGTTAGGCATGCTTATGAGGATTATATTTAGTTAATGAGCTCAACTTATCATCACTACAAAAAAATGTCTTTAGCGATAACTAAAAAAGTCA